GGGCAAGAAAGAGATCGACGTATTCGACGAATATGGTTAGGATTTAGGAAGCAGAGGCGGATGGGTGTGAAAAGAATATGAAACGGGAAGAATTTTAAGAAAAATGAGATACCTGATGAGATACTGATTTTTTTAGGAGATTATTTTCGAAATTTTTAATTCTTTTATCGATCTTTATTGATACTTGAGAATAAAAATAATAGAAACTGAAAACTAACTGATGATTATTTTTTTTAAATTATTATATATAGTAATATGTTGGATATTGAAGAAATTATTCAAAAAAAAATATAATATAATTAAGATAAAAATAATTCACGAAAATTGAAAGTCAAATACGATAAAAGTCAACCAACTTCTCGATTATACTTAAGTTTCACGTTGAAAAAATAGTTACTAGTTAAAAAAAAGGTATTTTTATCTCGTTAAACTTGCAATAATTAAACGATATACATTCCAGATAGATACACACTTATTAATGTCATCTTGATTAACGATTCGTGTACATAATTAGATATATTACGCGATTCTCTTGAAGTATTCTCTTTAATCACTTGAAAAAAAGAAAAAGATTCCTCAAACTATTATTTCCAATAATCTAATTTATTCCTATCAATCATTGATTTATCGATTATCCTGTTCAGGATTATTTTACTCTAATAATTGCTGACTACGTAAGGAAGAGATTTATTAAGAATTTCGAAGAGAGTATCCTCGAGCATAATTATTGAATTTGTATCAATTTCAACTGTCACGAGGCAGCCACATTGATAACAGTGAATTTCCAATGTGATTTATCATCGATTTGCGAAACACAATTAATTCCAGGGCAGGAGGGAAGAAGTTTGCAACAATAATTGTTAATAAAATGGAGCCTCCTGGTTTGCTTGATATAATTTCTTCCACTTGAATAATCGATCTTTACCAACATGCAGCTGCGCTGGATATGAAAATTATTACATCCCCTTTCTCATTTTACAATTACACATTGAATCGATTCAAACGTGTCATCATATTTCTGGGCTATTCTATGATTGAAATTTGATCGAGGAATTGTGTCTGAAATGTAGTCAACAGAAAAAATTATAACAGGATGTATAAAATAAGTGATAAGACAGACATAGATATATATTTTTTTTAATAATAAAATCATTAATTTCTTTTATACCTTGAACCAACTGTCAAAAATTAAAAATTGAACGTTTCAATAAAATTTGCATTTCTCAATTAGAATACAAAAAAGATAAATCATTACTTGCACATTAACATCCAAAATTATAAAACATATAATTTAATTGAACTTGTAATAACATATGATTTACGTATTTTTATCGCATCAGTGTCACTGTTGAATGAAAAAAGACACGAAAATCGTATCAAAAAATTTTCACCAAAGCGTACTTTACAAAGAAATAATAAACACGAACGAATTTATTCGTTCTCATAATAACACGTCTCTCCCAACTTCGATACTGCTCGAATTAATTTTTCTCTCCGTTTTCTCTCCGCGACAAAATTGCAGCCCTGTGACACGATCACGAGTACAGATTAAAGTTCATAAGTGTGAATTATCGCCGTCGTGATTAGGTTTTTGCGTGTCTCTCCCCTCCCCCCTCTCCTTTTTTCCCCCAAATTCAAGATCGGTCAATATCCGATTTCTTTCGATCCATTCATTATCAACCTGCCTTCGTGTCGATAATGATCCCATAAATCATTTTTTAACCCAATAAACCAATGATCGTTGTCCCCGACAACCTTCCTACAACCTTGCCAGAAAGTTCGATCTCTTTTTTCTTCTTCTCTTTCTCTCTCTTTCTCTCTGTCTCTCTCAAAATAATTACGGTAACCGATGGAGAAAAAAAAAATGTGTGATGTTGATACAGGATCTGCGTGTAAATCAAAGGTATAACGTAAAATTTATCGACGAGAGTTAAACGTCAGTAGAATGAGAATATTCATGGTGGGAAATTATATGGTTTCCTGTTTCTTCCCTTGTTTGGGTATGTCGCAAACGCGTTCGTAAAAGTCCATATGTATCTCGATAATGGTGGAAAATTAACAAGAGTGAGGTTAAAAAATATAGATGTTTTATAAATGGGAATTTAAATTCTTCGACGTGGTGTTTTACGACGTAACTTTTTCCCAAAGTATTTCCTATATTTATTGAGACAGTTTGAGATTTTCAAAGAGAAGATATTAATACGAAAGATGGGATAATTTCAAACGATAAAATTGATTTATCGATCACTTTTAACGATTTAGGTAAAACTGAATGTTTTCTCTAAGTACGTTTGAGTAGATGATTTTACGATTGTTATTTTATTTTATATTTTTGGATGGAATAAAAAAAAAATAAAGGTGCAAAATTAAAGAAATATACAATTTGTAAAAATTTATAAATCAAATTGTTAAGTGTTATTGATAATTTAATTAACTCGCAATTTCTATCTAAAAGGTTAAAATAAATCGGATCACAAAAAGAAGAAAAAAATATTATGACAATGGAATTTATTACAAAGTTGTATTCGACGAAATGACAATGGTTGCACAGCGCTATAATATTTTAATAATAAACATTAGACTTATCGTTGCAACGCCTAACGTTAAAGAGAGACAGTTTTCTTAAATCATAATGGTATCACGTGTAACTAATATCAGAATACTTTATCTCTTAAACATAATAAAATAGAGACGATGAACGCGCAACTTAAACCTACGAGGATGAGCAACATTCGAGCGAACGAGTTTCATCGATTCCACGCGAACAGACCTCACGTCCGCTTCGAGATTCTCTTTTCCGTGGTCGATCGGAAAAGTTTCGAGCGAACGTGCTTGAAAACGAAAGATCAAGACAAGGATTTTTCCCTCGAACGATCTGAATATTTGTTTGTAATTTTCTTTATAAAACTCCTTAATTAATAAAAAACGATCAAAATAGGATTTTAAGTTAAAATTCATCTTTTTGATATAAAACTTCTTGATATTTTTTTGATATATAATAAATAATAATTCAAAATACATAAATTTTGTAAATATATGCAACATTTGTAAAAAAACTATTGCAACCATTATATTTAATTTGAGAGAAATCTCTCTAAAGAATTTTTTCGTATCTCTCATATCATAAAATTTTAATATCTCTATATAAATCTATCGCTAAATAACACAAGATAATATAATACAATTTTTATTCGAAAAATATTTTATAATATTGTCTTATTCGGATCGTTCGAAGTAACAATTCTGTTCGAGATCGTGTTTTATAATTTAAGGTGAATTACACGTTATTTAAATGGCAGAAGGAACTATCTCAAAGATTGAGGTAATGAGGAAGAATGAGCTATTTAAAACCCTAATAATAAAATAACGTTATCGTTTATACGGCTCTCTCGACGAGTGAGATACTTCCATGACGCGGGAACGTCTTTAAAGAGCTTAGCACAATAGATACATAAATCCTACAAAGAAGTGCGCAGAGACGCTGCCGTGACAAGTCAGCAATTTGGCCGCAGCTGCGGAGCCTTCGAGTTTCAGGCGATCGAGATAAAGGTGTTAAATTAACTTGGTAAGAGTGAATCCAAAATGGAGGCCCGGGCAGCTGCGACTTCTCGATCCGCTTTTTCATCACAGAAGCGTCGCAGTGACGAAAGCACGCGACATATACGTTCAGTCGATTCTCTTTTATATACCGATCATATTTTATACTTAACAAATTGTACAATTTGTACGCGAAAGGATTTTCTCTACATTTTTTTTTCGAATATCTTAACGCTAGAACTATTAATTTATATTTAAATATACAGTTGAAACACTAAAGTTAAAATACGATTATAAAAATAATTAGATTTAAGATTAGAAGCACTCGCACTTGTTTCCAATAATTAAATAAAAAGAATCTGAATCTGCTCTCGAATTGATTCGGAATTTCATAATTCTAGCGTTAATATTTTGGAATTAAATGAAAAAAAGAAAAAAAAAATCATTGTACGAAAAATATCTTTACCAATAAACAATCCAATCATCGACTGAACCATCAAACACCGTGCGTCGTATCTCCATCACCACTACCACCACCTTCCTAATTTTAACAAATCTCGAGAGAAAGAAAACACGCTTGCGCGATTAACGCGATCACAAAAATTTACGCAACTACGTGGTGGCGCCACGATCGAGGAGTTTTCGAATCGCTAGACGAAAGAAGGGAAAAGAAATTGCCGCTCGAGAGGCTTCTCAAAGGCCATCGAGGAGGCGAGCGCGCGCACAAAAGTTAGGTTAGGTTTCGCTTTCGCCATCGAAAGGGAAGCGTACTTTTGTTTCGCAACGAGAATTGTTTCGCTTCGAATATCACGCATTTCGCCCGATCGTCCAGCGACCATCTTTTCCTTCCTGTCATAAAAGAGTGGACACCAGACACCAGCGAGATTTCCTGGTGGAAGGCCATTCTTAAATATTAATCGGTTGAGGCAGTTGCGTTGGCAAGAGCGAAAGAATCAGTCGTTTTCGTTTACCGTCGACTTAATCGCGTCGCTTTGGACGAGACAGCGAATTGAATTATTGTTTTTATAATGGCATTGATAATGATAAAATTGATTTTCGAAGAATAATATATACGAAGTATCACATGATTCAATGTTTTTAAACGAATAATTAAAATATATTCAGTTGTTTTCGATGAAAAGATATTAATTAATATATTTGTGGAATATAGATATACCAATCTTTAATATACAAATATATCGATATTTACGTGAAATCAAATTTTTAATTTAATTCTACAAGAAAAGATGATATGCATATTCCTTTATGCAATCGAAACTGAGATTCTTATAGAGTATTTATGTTCTTTTCTTAAATTTTTGATACTATTACAGATTGGGAAATTGAAATAAAAATAAATATACCGATTTATACATGTCGAAAGGAAAATAATCAGTGTCCATTATCGCGTTGTACATTTTAACTTTAACGAGCGACGAATAATAATGTTTAAATTGGTATTCTTTATAATTTCAACCTCTCTGACGAAAGACTCGATCAGCCAAGTCAGCGGAGAATCGCTGTGACCTTTTCCTTAGACCTCAGAAACGACGGAGCCTGTGACGACCGACCAAAGATAACCATCCGCGCCTAACGAATCCAAGTTTTCGTTCGCTTGTTCGTGAAGCTCGTTTAATCGTTCGTTTTATCCTTGCTATGACATTGAATTTCTCGGTCTTACGCAATATCGTCGACAATGGCGATACGATGAATACACAAATAGAACATAGACACACATTTCATATTCATGAAATATTCAATTTCACCTTAGAACTTGAACAATCGCTAGATTACCTCCCGATTCGATTAAAATCACGATTAAAAAGTGGCCATCGCTCTGTCTCGTCGTCGACTTCGACAAAAGCCACGCGACACGTCGTCGACTTCGTACCTCCCTCGTTCTACACTTCTGTCCACATCTGTTTCCACACCTCTTCACCTTTCACAGGGCCAGAAATTTCATCAGCGCATCATAAATCAACCGAGGGTTGATGGTACCGTCCGCAGTGTACCTGACACCCCTCAAGGAGCCATCGTCGTGGCTCACGACCCCGTATTCCCCAACGATGAAGCCATCCGGAGTCCTCTCCTCGACTCTGTATTTTCTGTAATTCCTACCCTCGACCACGTAGCCCACTTTGTGGCCATCCTCCACCTCGGAGGCGTTCGAGGACTCGGTGAGCATCATCTGGGGCCCGTGCACGTTTCCATTGCTGCTCACGCTCACCGACTCGTCCACCTCGTAATTCTGCTCGTCAGGTTCCCCCTGTCGATTCAACGGGTGACCCTCGGAATCGTAGAGCTTGCTAGGTTCGCTGTACACCTTGGCCGGTTGAGAGTACACCTTGGCAGGTTCAGAATATACCTTGGCAGGCTCCGAGTAGACTTTCGACGGTTCGGAGTACACCTTTTCAGGCTCGCTGTAGACCTTGGCAGGCTCACTGTACACCTTGGCAGGTTCACCGTACACTTTGGCCGGCTCGCTGTAAACCTTGGCCGGCTCGCTGTACACCTTGGCCGGCTCCCCGTACACTT